TGAGGGGCTATAAAATCCAGGAAAGACAACAACGGGAAGGTAAAATATAGGAAAATAATACGAGGGAACAATAATTCGTAGGAAAATAAAAATCAGGAAAATATATGTACGGAAATAAATTCCAGGAAAAATAATTTGTTGGAAAATAATAACCAGGAAAATATTACAATTGAAAAACTTTACTGGTAAATTATAAATCAGGAAAATATAATTCAGGAAATTATTTCGTAGGAATTTAAAACACAGGAAAATAAAAAACGGGAAAATAATTTATAGGAATTTAAAAATCAGGAAAACAATACACAGGAATTTCAAAACCGGGAAATATCAGTGAAGTAGGAGTACTGTATAGGCAATTTCTTGTTACATTTGTATTTTATGCTACATGATTAGATGTATTTATCATTATGTAATATTATGTATCACAAGGGGGGTTCAACCCCTCCCTTGGACACTTTATAAATATAATAATATATTATGTACTTGATAATAATTATAATAATTTATTGGGAAAAAATCTAGTTCAGCGTCCACTCGAATTTTAGATTCTGAGTGAAACGATGAATGTATTGATTTTAAGGCTCCTAGTATATTGTTTCAAAGGCAGATGAAAAATATTAAAAATCCTTAGTCACAGTTTTTTTTTATAAGCTTTTAAAGTTCCAAAATTAACAAAATATGGAAAAATCACGAAAATTAGCAAATTATTTTGAGTTAAGAATTCGTAAAAATTTTTCTTTTTAAATCTAAGGTTTTAAAATGTAATACAAGATTCCTTATAATATTATCTACCTTTATCAAAAAACAAATGTCTATAAGAAAGTCAAATTACATTTTTATGACCGTTTTAAATTCAAATTTTTACAACATAAGATATTCACTCGATTTCTCATGTAGCGATTTCCTTATTTTGTTGTAATTCAAAAACGAATAACTGTAGATACATGAACATTGCACTGAATATTTATATTAGAATTTCCTATACACCATACAATTTTGAAAATATTTTGACTCTTTTTGAGCTGTTTACGGACATTTTCAGTTTTCTATTTTTTTAGTTTTTTTTTCTATAAATATCAATAAAGTTTTATCTGTTGGGCCAAAAAGTGTAAAAATTTAATACAAGACTCTTGATATATTGTTACAATTTCAGCTGAAAAATATTTAAAATACAAATGCACAATTTTTTTTTATAAGCATTTAAAGTTCGAATTTTGACAAAATTTATCATATTTAAAATTTAATAATTCTTTTGTATTCAATAATTTATAAAATGTTCAATTTTTATATCTAAGGATTGAAAATTTAAAAAAAGATTCCACGTAAGTAGTGTACTCAGTTACCAAAAAAATCTAAGCCATATATAAGCACAGTTTATTTTTAAAGTCATTTTAAGTTCAAATTTGGACGAAATTGCATAATAATAAACCTAGAATAACTATTTTAGTTATTTTGTTGTGATTGTATAATATTATTTAAAACTTGGTATTTGAAATTTCTAAAGTACCTACACTATTGTATATCTATGATAGTATCAGGGTTTGTTGTTGATGTATAACGCGTTATAAGTACCTAATGGATATTTTGATATGATTAATTTGGAATTTATTATGGGTACCTATTATAGGTCAATTTTTTTAATACCATAGATAAATATATAATATGTCTTATACCTAGACTGACATATCGCCTCGGCTCAGAATCGTTTTTCTTATACAATGATATTATATCATTGAATTCAAATTTAATACCATCTATTATACAGTGACCCACTTGTAACCTACAAAACAGCAGAGCGACATCCACTTGCCCACCTTTTTCATATTCAGTGTTTAATTAAAAATACAATACTTAAGATAAAAAAAATAAAATAATAGTTACATACTTACATACTAAACTTAATATAAGCTTTCTGTTATTACCCCTGAAAATTTCATAAGGCTTTATGTATCGGTTATAAGAAAAGATTTTGGGGCAATAAGAGAATTTTTTTTTTTAAATAAAATATTGTACTATTAACATTAATTACAGAATTATCTAAAAATGAAGAAGATTGGGTTGCAGTTATAATGTCTAGTTCTTTTGAGTTCGTTGTCCAAGGGAAAACAATAAAAAACTTAGTCAACTTATTTTACAAGTCGAGACCGAAATTAAATACTGGAAAGAAGTTCTAACCAGAATAGTAGCTGTGGTGAAATCATTAAGTTGTAGAGGACTATCATTTAGAGGTCATAATGATAAATTTGGATCAACTCATAGTGGCAACTTCATCATGTGTTTGGAACTAATAGCAGAGTTTGATCCTTTTCTAGCTAATCATATTTCAAAATTTGGAAATAAGGGTAAAGGAAGTACTTCTTATCTATCTTTTTCTGTGTATGAAAAGTTTATAGAAATGATGGGTGAGAAAGTTAAAAACACTATTATTAATGAAATAAAAAACGCCAAGTATTTTTCAATTGTGGTTGATTCAACCCCTGATATTTCACACACGGACCAACTTGCATGCATATTTAGATATGGAAAACTAATGGTGAACCTGTAGAGAGATTCTTACAATTTATTGCTAACTCTGGACACAAATCTGAAGATTTTGCAGATGCAATATTTATGGTGATTGGTGAAAATGAACTAGATATTAAGAATTGTCGAGGGCAGTCCTATGACAATGCATCAAACATGTCAGGTGTGTATTCTGGACTTCAAGCTAGAATAAAAGGGGCATGTCCTTATGCTATTTTTGTCCCATGTGCAGCACATTCATTAAACTTAGTAGGAGAGTACGCTGCTAATTGCTGTACAGTTGGTACTGAATTTTTCAATTTTCTTCAAGCTTTATACACATTTTTTTCTGCATCTACATATCGTTGGAAAATATTGAGTGACTACCTGACTAATTCCAAGAATAAAACAGTAAAAAGATTATCTGATACTCGATGATACACGAAGCTTGTTCAAGTCTTTCTCAAAACTGGACAAAACTTCTTAAAGCATTGAACAGTTTTGTTGATAATCCAATGGAAAATTGTAAGACAAAATGTGAATCAACTGGATTAATAAAAAAAATGAATAGCTTGGAAATGTGTATTCTCGTGTCATTTTGGAATGATATTTTAGAGAGGTTTAACAGTACAAGCAAAAAATTACAGACTATTGAAATTGATCTGACAATTGTTGTAAACCTATACACATCTTTAATTCATTATATAACAGATTTAAGAAATACTTTTTCACACTATGAAAAACTAGCTATGGAAAAATCTGAAATTAAAGAGTATAAAGTTGTCAGGAAGAAGAAAAGAAAAGTACCATACGATGAATCATGTCAAGGCGACACATCATTTGAAGCTAGAGAATCATTTAAAATAAACACATATTTTGTCATAATAGATTCATTACTTTCAGAGTTAAGGAAGCGTAAAAACTGTTATGATGATATTAATACTATGTTCGGATTTTTTTCAAACATTATTGATTTACCAGTAACTGAAGTGAGAAAGAAAGCTACCAAATTACAGAGTCAGTATCCTGAGATCTCGATGAATCATTTATAAATGAATGTATTCATTTTCATGGATACTTAAAAAGTTTTCCAGGAAATGTATCACCAAAATCTATTTTAGAGTTGTGCAAAATCATTGAAGATCACAATATAGCAGATGTCTACCCATATGTAGATATTGCGTTACGTATGTATATATGCTGTCCGGTTTCTAATACTTCAGCTGAACGGTCATTTAGTGTTCTGAAAAGAGTGAAATCATACTTGAGATCTTCAATGAATGACAACCGTTTAAACAATTTGGCAATTTTAAATATAGAATGTGAGATAACTAAATCAATTAGTTATAATGAGGTCATTGAAGATTTTGCTGCCCTAAAATCTCATCGTAAAATATAAATGTTAATGTTTCTTTTGTTTAATTAAATGTTTCAATTTATATTATGCTTCATATTATATAATGTTCAAAACTTCTATGTATAATTATGTTGTTATTTTTTAATGATCATAAAACAAAGGTAAATAAATGTTAAAATGTTGGGGGCAATAAATTATATGTACCCAGGGCATCAAATCTCTGAATACGCCACTGCATTTTTATATTTATATTACAAATAAATGTATTAATATTCATTATAACTTAGACAATACATTAATTAATATTTTACAATAAATATGGTTCTATATACTGTGATGTAAACATCCCATGGAAAAATCATAATACAATAATATTAGTGCCTCAGGTGTCTACACATCACTGTGTGGATAGGAAAACAGAACATGACATAGGTATTACATACTTAAATAATGAATAAAAGATTTACATCTCTATAACTATTCAGTACAGTAGACAGTAGTTTATACATACCTGTTTCCGTAAAAAGTGATGTTTTAAATACTTCAAGACAAATTACATGTTTAAACTCTTATTAATTGATGTAAAGGTAAACTGAATAATGTGAGTTAGATTGTATAGTCTTTAGAGGAATTTTGAATTTATAATCTAACTTTCCATTATTATTGATTTGTCATTATGACGTTATGATGACAATATGTCAGTATGTTCGGTATAATTATTGTGGTAATGAGCCAATAGAATTTATTTATATATACTCTTAAAACAATTTACAATTACTGTGTAACATAGGGCGACATCTACTTGACGGTTTCGGTGCAATAGTACGACACCCCTGAACTTTTATGAAATGCAACACAACGTACAAGGCTTCTTATCACCAATCGTCCGAGAAAATAGTCCTCTAGCTATAGTCCCCCAACTTCACACACGTATATGTTTGCACCCGTGTCAACTGTTATTGGTACAGTGATATAATTAAATTCAGCTTCGGGTGTACAATTAATTTTATTTATGTGTTGATACGAGGATGCCTTAATTAAAGGTGAACAATTATCAGCCGTGTTTAACCTTACATTTAGTTTTTTGACTTGTTGATGTATAGATCACAATTGTTAGCGGTATGCCCGAATTTATTACAAATTTGACACACTGATGGGCGTGGTTTATTTCTAAAAAAGCATTTATCTTCTGAGTGATTAGTTTTTGAGCAAATTGAACATTGCTTTTTATGAATATTTAAGTCCCTATAATTATATGGCGAATAATTTATTTGTGACATATTGTTCATTGGATTTGATGGGGAATATGATTGGTTGCACTGTGTTGGATTTATGTTTCAATATGGTGTATTATTATGTGATGTATTATATGTTTGAGGTTCTTGTGTATGCCATTGTTGATTGTTAAACTTATTTTGCTCTTGTTTATTTTTAAGTGCGAGTCGATTATTTTGTTCTATGTTACTATGGTGTTGTTTATTTTGTTCATTGTTTATAAGTTGGCCACACATAATTTTTAAGTTATTTAATTCTTCGCTTAATTTATCGATTTTATTTTCTTTTGTAGTTTTATTTCTGTTAATTTGTTGGAGTTTAAATTTTATTATTTCTGTTTCGAAATTAAGTGAAGTTTTAGGAGTGTCACCTGTTGTCATAAATTCAACCATTTCATACTTTGAAATTACACATTACTTTTTAATTCTGTTAATAATTTTCATTTCCCATTATTAATATGTATCGTGCTATGGATGGGTTTAAGCCATTCATAATATTGAGGACCATTTCCTCTTGTGACATTTTACTATCAATGCGCCTACATAATGATTCAGCATCGTAAATGTAAGATACCGTGTGTTAATCTGGAAGCTGTTTACGTTTTTCTAACATTAATCGGAGCATATCGGTCGTGCTATTGGTTCAAATTCTAACCTTAATTTTTTTTCTTAATCAGCCCATTTTAGGTCTCCACCACTATCTATTATGTTATCATAAAAAGTAAGGGCGGAACCTTCAAATTATTGAGTATATATTGAGTTTTTCGGCTTCAGACCAGCCATTTATGATGGCAGCTCTGTCATATTTTTTTAGAAATGTATCGATGTTTTCAGAAATCGAACCTGTGAAATTGCTTGGTTTGAAATATGGTTTTTTAATCTCAGGCATATTGTTTTTTATTATATTACCGTTAGATTTGTCAATTGGTTCTGAGATAAATGATATATTGGTTATTTGCGTATCGAAATCGTCTGAAATGGCTTCCCCCTTTAAATATTTTTGTAACCTAGTTTTTAGATCTGTAACCAAACCGGATGTTTTTATGTGTCTTCTAGATAATTCAGTAATTAATTTTTCTTTATTCCATTTATTTATCCAACTTGTTGAGATAGTGGTAAGTCGATATCTGGGAATTTAATGTTATCCTGATGGGGGGTTTGGTCAGAATTTCGCATATGTGAAATTTATTATTAAATGTATTAGAAAAATAATATAATACAAAAAAATCTTTATGGGTATTTTTGTCTAGATTTTTGTTAATTGAAAAGTTAATGAAAATTAATTAATTATTTTGGATTTTATTTATACTAATATAAAAATGTGACGAATAGTTATTTGTATAAGTATTGTTTGATTATGATTTGTATTCTTCTAATGAATTATATCTATATATTTTATATTAAGTTATTATGTTATTTTGTTAATTTCTTTTAAGGTTTAATTATTAGAATGTCGTAATAAAAATGTGTATAATAATTCATGTATAATATATAATTATAATATTTTTTGTGATTTAATAATGCAAGTATGAATTGTTATACAATTATATATTAGTACTAGGTATACATTTTTACTTAGTGATTAAATTATAGTAAATTAAATTATTCAAAAACAAAACAATTTTGTTGATGTTAAGGTGTGAATGATATATTACAATTTATTAAATGATTAAATTTTTCTTTTTACTGGAAAAGGGGAAATTTTGGTTTGTTTTCTTATTATAATAACTAATGATACCTAATGTATACTGTATATTGTATTATATGTAAAAATAACATATATATATATTTTTAAATACATTATTTTTATATTGGATTTTAGGTTAAGTTATTAAATAAATTAATTTTGTTTTACCTAAAAAAAAATTGGATCTTAGTTTTCTTTTTTTTTTTAAATAAATAATAATAGGTATTTACTACAAAAATTCAATTGTATAAACTATTATTAATATAATATAATATATTATAAATAAGATGTTACTTTAATTTAATAGAATAATTTTATGAATGTACCTAATATATACTTTTTTTTTTAAGTTTTAGAAAAAAAAAATTTTGTTAGATTACCTATATTATTATGTTTTATTATTAAATAAGTACATTTTTGTAAGCTTATAAACATTTTAATTTCAATTTTAGTTATTATTGTTTTTCTAAGTTTTATTTTTAATATTTTTTTGTATTGATAATTTTTTTAACATAAAATATTTATTTTTAAATTTAATTATAAAATATTAAAATCTTATATAGCTAATATAATTTTGTAAAATCTATTTGATCCATTCTCAGTTTATTTATCTGAATAAACTGAACTTTTGTTGGGCGCCACTTTGTAATAACTCAAAAATTATGATATAAAATAAAAACGACTCCTGTCTTACCTAAACATTAGGTATAAAAAGTATTTAGAAAGTTATATTTATTTGGTTTTAAAATTAAATTAAGTAATGATAAAAGTCTGAACAGAAAGTTACTGTGATAAAAATTGTTTTTGTTACCTATATTTTTTTTTTAGTTTTATAAGTTTAAAATTATGTTAGCTATTGAATAATGTCTTAACAGAAAGTTACTGTTCCTAAGATTATATTTTTTTTTATATTTATATTGTATTTATTAATATTTATTTAGTTTTACGATTCAATCAAATATTGATGACTGAACACAAAGGTACTATGATTAAGACTGTTTTTTTTTTTTTGTATTTGGTACCTATGTTGTACTTTGTACTATTTTTTAAAACTTTATATTTGGTTTCTATACACCTTACATGTGTTCAAATAATAAAAACTATTAAAAATATATATTTGTTTCTTTTCACCCAACCTAGCAGGTGAAACAGAGCACTTAAAAAAATATAGAAAATAATCTGTTAAAAATACAAATATTTTGAATACACATAATTAAAGTACTCGGAGAGACCCATATTTTGGTGTATCGATAAACATTGTAGCCCAAATAAAACAGTTTATATGATACATCAAAGCTGAAAAGTGTTTCTATTCACCCCATTTTACGGTACATATATCTAATATCTTATTCTGTTTAAACAATTTTCCTATGTATAGCTAAATGATGATGATAAAAGAATTGATTCATTTCAAATCTAGATCAGTGGAGAACTATTATAGCTTCAGGAACACAGACAACTTTTGATATAGTAAGAAAATTAAATTAAATTTGACTGTTTGTGTTTGTATTTTTTTTTTTTATTTTACTCAACACATTTTTTTATAATATTAGTTACAGAAAGTTTATCTTGTTTTTTGGACTGTAACAAGCACGGATGAAGTTATAGAAAGTATATTAGCAATAATATGAAGAGCTACTATAAATTTGCAGAATGTCAATGATTTTGAATGATTGTGAGCTTTTGAAGATGTCACTGTATCAGATCATTCAGAAATATTATCTAAGACTTTTA